TAATTTTAACTAACCATCACTTCAAATCTTATCTTTCCTACTTTACATCAAATCAACTTTAATCATTTTATATTAAATATTATTTTAATATATCCACTAAAAATTAACCATACCAACTTTTTCAAACCTAACCAAACCAAACAAAAAAATCCAAACAAAACTAAAATTTTTTATATCCATTCATCCTCTAACTGATTTTATTTTATATTTTCAATAGTAAAGGCAATATTACAATGGATGAATTATAAATAACTTGTGACAACATGCCGCAAAAGTAGTTATCATTGGTCGGCATAACAGACAAATTATATCAAATGCTGCTCCCAGTCCTTTATTTTATCTCCCTTTTCTCTTTAATTCCTCTTACAGTTTTTTTTTTTTTGAAAAAAAAAAAATTTAAATAAATGTTTACACTTGGCTTGAAACTTATTTTTGTTAGTCAATTGTTTGAACAAGGCCATTTATATTTGTATCTTCTGGTGTTCAGGTTCAGAATACACAGACGGGTTGCCTTCTCGTGACGAGTCGCAAAATAGGCCGATTATTTGAGCTTGAGTCTCTTCATATCCTTCGTTCTTCCTCATTTTTTGCTTCTGTCACTGATAATAAGTCCAACTTTCGACAGCATCTTCGTTTTAGTGCGCTTCATCTGCGTGAGACCGCACTTGTTTTTTCTCCTTTCTTACCGTCCATAAATAATAGAGCCACTCTCTTTCTTTTTGGTGTTATCTTCTCGTTGGCCCATACGCAGTGGCGAAACTAGGATCCCGTTTCGGGGAGGGCCAATTTGCTTTTAAAAAAATTTTTCACGACAAAACCGAACACAAACACAAATATTTTTCGATCCAGCTTCCCCTCCATTGTTCCATGCTCCCTGCTCAGCTGCTCTGTGTTTTCGGATTCTAGATTTTCGGTGGCGCCCTTCCGGCCATCCCGCGGCGCACCACCCCCACTTCGGCATCGGAAGGGCCCTCAAAGGGCGCCCTTCCAGTTCCAACAAAACCCCCCACACTTAGTTCGAATTTTTTTTATTTTATTTTTGAAGGGCCGGCGCCTCTCCGACCTTCAACATGGTTTCGCCCCTGCCCATATGTAAACATTCTTAGGCAAATTTAATTCTTTAATCAGTAATTAATTAAATAATTGATTAAGTTTTAGGGCTCTATATATGCATTCATCTTTCACCTGCTTTATCAAAAAATTCAATTTAATTTGAACAATTGTTCTAATAATTTGAATCAAAAGATAGAAAAAGATAAGCATATGTTATTTTTTTCCTTATTAAGAAAAACAACTGTAAATACTAAATAGAGAAATAATAACGCATTGTACGTAGATGTAGTCATTAGCCACCACTTATTTTTAGATTTTATTTTAATTGATTGTGAGGTTTAAGTTAGGTAGAGCCAATGTTGTTGTTCTATGAGTCGCCTCATCTGAAAGAAGACACAAACAAAAAACTGATATGCAATTCTAACAACTTTTGCCTTGAATCCAACTCTAGCAAGTCCTTTCACTCAATACTGTGGAATATTGCCAAATTAAATAGCACATGGCTAGTAATAACCCTATTTTATAGTATAAAAAAATATTCTGAAAAAAATATTTTTCATCTATATTAGACTTCCTAACTTCATTTCATTTTCTATATAAAAAATATTTGGTATAGTAAGAAATACTTGTTTGTAATGTGCTCTCGTTTAATATAATTTCTTCTCTAATTATTTGTATAATATGACATCCTCCCTATATATTATCCTCCCTATATATTATTTCCGAATGCGCTGAGCCTACGTGGCTGTTTTTTGTGCTTCGGAATACTACTTGTATTTGACAAAGAATCATGCTTCGTAATTAGGTTTAGAAAAATAATATTCATATATTACTAATTAATAATTTAGGCTTGGACATTCCATAAATATTATTTAGCTAACTTAGGTATTTTAATATCAATCGTACTAATATAATCATTTATTTCTTTGTAATTTTACATAGTGAGACACTAAGTAACTCATATATTCCTGACTTTTGATTTGTTTCATTCAATTAGCTATTGAATTGTAAATGTATTTTAAAAGTTGATAACTATTGTATTTATTATCGATTTTACATATATAATATATCAAATTAATCATGTTTTGATAATCTTCGATTTGACATCCATATTGTATATATAAAATAAATAAATTATATTTATCTTTATAATGATAAAAAAATAATAATATTTATTAAAATT